GGGAAAGTGAGAAAGCAAGCTACCAGGCCCAGGATTTGAACCATGGTCAGTCACGTGGGAGTGTTCAGCACCTTAACCACCATGCCACCTGCTGGTCCCCATCACTTCTCTTATTCTTAAAAGCAGGAGCCCCCAGTCATGGCATTAGGGGGTCCTATCTGGTTTTCTGGCTTTCTTCTGTGTCTCCACCTCACAAAATGACGGGAATGCAGAAGACGCCCAGTACGTATTTACTGAATGAATGTGCAAGCTCAAGTCTCTCTACCCACTGAGGACCTCCTGCTCTCATGCTCTCTCTCTCTCTCTCTGTGTCTCTCTCTGCCAAGCACCTGCCTCTGGCAAATTAAAAAAGAAGAAGAAGAAAGCACCTGCTTCAGGCAGATTAAAAAAGAAAAAGAAGAAGAAGAAGAGGAGGAGGAGGAGGAGGAGGAGGAGAAGGAGGAGGAGGAGAAGAAGAAGAAGAAAAGGCACGGTCCTGTGTGAAGCAGAGTGTTCTGTTCAGCCCACAATCACCTGAGCCACATCATGGAAGAGGCTCGGCACGAGTGGGGAGAAGGCTTCTTGATGAAACAGTACTTTTCTATGGCTGACCTAGTATCTTTCTGGCTCCTACCAGTGTCACCATCACCCATTGTACGGAGGGCCAAACCTCTGTCAGGTCCTGGGACTGCTTTCTCCAGTATTTATCAGCTGTGTTTACCTATTGTCCTTTGTAGAGAAAGTCCTTCCATGGACCCAATATGTCAACCCTTCCTTCACTCTTCCTTCTCCCAAAATCTAGGTCTCAAGGAAGAGGTGCAACATTACCCGTATGAAACACTAAGCTTTGTGCTTGCTGTTTCTCAAAGGGAAACAATTCCTGTGGAAAGTATTAGCAATGTGACTGATTTTTGTTGCTCTAGAAAATGACTTAGAGGTTGCAGAGAGAATGTTAGACTTCATCTTTCAAACATATATGTATTCACTTTTCAGGCCTCAGATGCTGAACATGTTCATGGAATAGGAATGCTTCCCACTTCCTTGTCACTCTGTGGTCACAGCTTTAAAAATTGACAAGGATATGTCTGAAGTCTGAAGAACTTGGCAGAGGACAGAGCTGCCTGGCCTAGACGGCTGCCCATGTGGAAGCCAGGAAAGATGTCCATCCATTGGGGACTGAGAAAGGACCTCTGTGCTAAGGGCCCATCTCCAAAACCCCCTGATAAAGTTCCAATACCATTGGAACACTCTAGGCTAAGAGCATAGTCCCTTAATTCATTGGCACATTAATATGGACTAATTTAGCATAGTCCCAGCAGTAGAATAGACTGCAAAAGGATTAGATAACAAATCTGGTGTTCGCTTACACTTAACTTTTCAAATTGGTATTTAACTTAATACAGTTGAACACTGAAATTAGAAAACAGAGCAGAAGGAGAAGTCTCTCTACCACTCCCAAAACCCAAATTACTCATTTTTCTTTTCATGGTCACTACCATGAGCAGTTTCCCAAATGTCCTTTGAGACAAATAGGGCATAGTTTACATTCTTCTTTGTTGTTATTAAAATAGAAGTAGCTTGTGCATACAGCTAATTCCTCCTTTTTAATTTAAAATTTGGAGGGTCCTCTAAGAATGTTTAACAATAAATCTTTGAGCTTATTTCATCAGCTTGTTTCATTTCTTTTTAAAAGAAATATTTATTAAACTTTATTTCTTTTATTGTTTTGTTTTGTTTTGTTTTTATATTAGACTGGAGAGAGACATGGAAAGTGAGCAAAGGAAAGTGAGAAAAGCCATCAGGTCTGGGAGTTGAACCATGGTCAGCCATGTGGGAGTCCAGGGCCTCAACCACCACACCACCTCATGACCCCTCATCAGTTTGTTTTAAAAAACACGGGAACCAGCAGTTAGCGTAATGGCTATGTCACTGGACTCCCATGTAGTTGACCACTGTTCGTGTCCTGAACCCGGTGGCTTAAAACTCACGCAGAGCGCGTGTGCATGCATGCCCAAGATCCCGAGAGCAGAATGGAGGAGAAGGGATTGCAACGTGACCATCTCCCCTGGGGGGTGATTTCTCGCTTTCTGTCTCTATGTCTCTGTCTGTCTGGCGAGTGCACGCACCCTATAGCGAAAACCTCTCCAAAAAAAAAACACATTTCACATTCTTTTTAATGGCCCTAAAATATTTCATTCTATGACTATACCTTAGGATATTTGACCAGGATCTTTCTAAGAGATATTTAGTATGTTTCCAATATTTTAGTATATAAGCAATTTTGTACACATTGTAGGCTAGATTCCTGAAAGTGGAATTGTGTGTGAAAAGATGTAGGCATGCATAATTTTAATAAGTATTACCAAATTGCCTTGGAATTTGTGCAGATCTACAATCATCTCTGTGCCTGTTCCTCCACGCTTGCCAACACTATGAAAAGCTGGTACATTTTGAAAATGGGCAAAAGGTGAGAAAGCCCTCCTTACAGGGTGGTTAGGCCCTACTTGGAGTCCCATGGGGACTTGTGGTGCTGGAGAGAAGCTTAAAGGCACTGGAGATTGCCCAGAAGAAGTCAGGCTGCCACAAGGGATATGAAAAACTGAGACCAGCTCAATCCTGCCAGGGTTGTTTCTCAAAGGGAAACAATTCCTGTGGAAAGTATTAGCAATGTGACTGATTTTTGTTGCTCTAGAAAATGACTTAGAGGTTGCAGAGAGAATGTTAGACTTCATCTTTCAAACATATATGTATTCACTTTTCAGGCCTCAGATGCTGAACATGTTCATGGAATAGGAATGCTTCCCACTTCCTTGTCACTCTGTGGTCACAGCTTTAAAAATTGACAAGGATATGTCTGAAGTCTGAAGAACTTGGCAGAGGACAGAGCTGCCTGGCCTAGACGGCTGCCCATGTGGAAGCCAGGAAAGATGTCCATCCATTGGGGACTGAGAAAGGACCTCTGTGCTAAGGGCCCATCTCCAAAACCCCCTGATAAAGTTCCAATACCATTGGAACACTCTAGGCTAAGAGCATAGTCCCTTAATTCATTGGCACATTAATATGGACTAATTTAGCATAGTCCCAGCAGTAGAATAGACTGCAAAAGGATTAGATAACAAATCTGGTGTTCGCTTACACTTAACTTTTCAAATTGGTATTTAACTTAATACAGTTGAACACTGAAATTAGAAAACAGAGCAGAAGGAGAAGTCTCTCTACCACTCCCAAAACCCAAATTACTCATTTTTCTTTTCATGGTCACTACCATGAGCAGTTTCCCAAATGTCCTTTGAGACAAATAGGGCATAGTTTACATTCTTCTTTGTTGTTATTAAAATAGAAGTAGCTTGTGCATACAGCTAATTCCTCCTTTTTAATTTAAAATTTGGAGGGTCCTCTAAGAATGTTTAACAATAAATCTTTGAGCTTATTTCATCAGCTTGTTTCATTTCTTTTTAAAAGAAATATTTATTAAACTTTATTTCTTTTATTGTTTTGTTTTGTTTTGTTTTTATATTAGACTGGAGAGAGACATGGAAAGTGAGCAAAGGAAAGTGAGAAAAGCCATCAGGTCTGGGAGTTGAACCATGGTCAGCCATGTGGGAGTCCAGGGCCTCAACCACCACACCACCTCATGACCCCTCATCAGTTTGTTTTAAAAAACACGGGAACCAGCAGTTAGCGTAATGGCTATGTCACTGGACTCCCATGTAGTTGACCACTGTTCGTGTCCTGAACCCGGTGGCTTAAAACTCACGCAGAGCGCGTGTGCGTGCGTGCCCAAGATCCCGAGACAAGATCCCGAGAGCAGAATGGAGGAGAAGGGATTGCAACGTGACCATCTCCCCTGGGGGGTGATTTCTCGCTTTCTGTCTCTATGTCTCTGTCTGTCTGGCGAGTGCACGCACCCTATAGCGAAAACCTCTCCAAAAAAAAAACACATTTCACATTCTTTTTAATGGCCCTAAAATATTTCATTCTATGACTATACCTTAGGATATTTGACCAGGATCTTTCTAAGAGATATTTAGTATGTTTCCAATATTTTAGTATATAAGCAATTTTGTACACATTGTAGGCTAGATTCCTGAAAGTGGAATTGTGTGTGAAAAGATGTAGGCATGCATAATTTTAATAAGTATTACCAAATTGCCTTGGAATTTGTGCAGATCTACAATCATCTCTGTGCCTGTTCCTCCACGCTTGCCAACACTATGAAAAGCTGGTACATTTTGAAAATGGGCAAAAGGTGAGAAAGCCCTCCTTACAGGGTGGTTAGGCCCTACTTGGAGTCCCATGGGGACTTGTGGTGCTGGAGAGAAGCTTAAAGGCACTGGAGATTGCCCAGAAGAAGTCAGGCTGCCACAAGGGATATGAAAAACTGAGACCAGCTCAATCCTGCCAGGGTAGAGCCAACAGAAATGATCCATAATCCACAATCGCTTTGGGATCAGTGCCAAGATGTTCCTGCTTCTTGTCTAGGGGAGGTAAAATCCAAACGTGTGACTGAATCCCAAATGCACAAAGATAATTAAGTACCCACAGTAGCTGATCTTCATGTGCTGGAGGCCTCTTGCTCATCCAGTACCTGGCATGTGCGGAGCCAGTAAGCATGAGTTCTCCACACCGGCAGGGATCTGGTTCCTCCAACAGATCGTGAAGTCTGAGGAAGGAGGGCTCCAACTTTGCCTGCCTCTTCCCCTCACTTTCCCCTGCTAAGGTGATCGGATTGATCCCGGCCTCCAGGAAGTCAACATTTGACCTCTGTCTTTTGGTCTTCCACTCAGCAGAAGGCAGGCTCTTTTTTCTGAGGACAAGGCTGATTGCTAACCTTGTTTAGGCTCTGGCAATTTTCTAGTCAAAGATAATTGGCTTCAGTTCTTTGGGGCTGAAACAGCAGTATGAAACTCAGGGGTAGAGCTGGTGTCTCCCATTACCTGTGTCAGACTGTTGGTCATCTGAAGGACGGGCAGGTACAGCCTGTCTTCCTGGCAGGGAATAACAGGAATAGCTGTCAGCAACTATGGGCTCCTGGCTACATCTTAATCTCTGATAAATCTCCCCGCTCAGCCTGGCTCCAAATGTACAACCCCCAAGTGCACGCACAAGATGGCTTGTCCTGGGAGAGGAAGAGGAGACGCAGAAGCCATGAAGCAGAGGACAGGAAACCAAATAGACTTGCCACTGAGTAACGTCAGAAAACCCCCAAGGTCAGAGCTTCAAGAAGAATAAAGGCAGTCAGTCTTTTAATTTTACCAATGAGAAAACCAAGGTTGCACAGTAGAGGGGGGACTCTTCACAGAGCAGCCGTCGCCATCCAGAGCCAATCTCCATTGGCAGGTTGGGACGGTTGATAGGGAGGCCATATGGATTTCATGAGCATC